AAATGCAACATCATCAATCCAAATCATTTTCATACCAACAAAAAGAACGACCAGACCCTATTTCTACAACTACATCTTGAAAAAAAAAACCTTATCTTCTTGTTTCTCCTTTTCTTGATACAAAAACAAAACTATTGCTTTATCACCATAACAAAAAAGAAAATTTGAAAAAATCTACAAAAATTTTCTTTTCAAAGCATCACTCTTTCATCTTCTTGTTTCTCCTTTTCTTCTTCTCGCTGGCAGAGTACAACTCTCCTTCGGTAGTCTCTTGCCAACCTTCAATTTTATATATTAAAACGTAGAAATATAAAATTGAAAAATATTAACAAATTTATATAAAAAAAAACCTTAGATTTATAATACTAAAAATTCTATTTTTATAATACTAGTAAAATATCATTTGTTTATTTAAAAAAAACCTTAGATTTAATGACTTCGCTTTAAAAATTTAGATTTTTTATGCCTTTTCTTAAGCTTAGATTTGTTATAACTTTTTTAGAATTAATTAAAAGTTTGGATTTGATATAATTTGAATGTTATTATCTTGTATAATTTTAAAGAAAAATGAAAAGAAGAAGAAGTTGGTCTGTTTAGACTTGCAGGCCAACCTTAAACGGTCCATACTAATAAAATATCAGATCGTTTAATCCTTTGTCTTTTTGGCCTAACAGTTAAATAGATCGGGCTTATACAATCTCACTTTTGAATAGAAGCAAGATATTTATTTATAGGAAAAAATGTGTGTCATCTTAAAGGATGTAAAATTGTGTCATTTTAAGAGAGAGAAAGAAATAGATAAAGGAGGGAAGAGAGTTGACAAAAAAAATAAAGGTGTGGGTCTCACCTCTTTGTGAGAGTGAAATAATATAAGTTGTGTCATTTAAAAGGATAAATATTTTTTTCTTATTTATATCAAATGGTGGTAGCTCAGTTGGCGCATAAGAGCTAAGCAGGTGGGGATGAGAGCATGTGTTTGAATCTCTCCAGTACCATCTTAGGAAGAGGTTTAAAAACCTTAATCGAATTAGTTGCGAAGCAATGAACCGATTGGAATATTTCCAAAAAAAAGATATTTATTTATTTTTTAATTCTATGAAACATACATGTGTTATTTTTTATTTGGTTTCTAATGAATTAGTATTTTTAATCATTCAAAGTTTAAATTTCCAATATTTTTGCACTTCCGTTCAAATAATGAATCGAAAATGAATAATGTGTAGAATACTCATATCTTGATTGTGACCGTGACTCTCCATAATGGGTTCATCTAATTTCATGTTACATGAGAAAAGATATTTTATGTTGTAGAGACACATATGGTGGGACTCACTATTTACAAAAAAAAAATGTCACGATTTTCGATGGGTCTATAAGAGATAAACTACTCTTATATTGCATAAGAGTACTTTTTTCCCTGCATAATTTTGCTTTTACTCAGTTTTAGAAGTTTTATGGTTTATGCTTCTACACTAGTATCAATGAACCATTTTGGGAAATCTTGCACTAAATGTGTGAGTCTCACTTCTTTGTAAGAGTGAAATGACATAACTTATGTTATTTAAAAGGAATTTTTTTCTTTATTATATTAGTACAATTTTAAAATAAAATACTACTAAGAAAGGAAAAACAATTATCGTGTTAAAAGACAATTCTCTTATCATGTTATACAAACAATTAGTGCGAGATCCACTATTTTAAAATAAAAAGAAAAGAAAAGAAAATGCAGCACAAATATGAATGTATGTCTAGAAAATTCAACTTCTGTCACGCAACATGACAAATGCAAAACTTATATATATATATATATATATATATGTATGTATATATATATATATATATTTTGTGAAACATATTTAGTAAAGTGATATAATTTGATCATTTTTAAACATATGGGTCCCATGAATATAACATGCGTTCTTATCATGTGATTTACACATGTCGCATTTGTGGAGCACACATGGTCAAAAATGTCAAAAAATAATCAAATTATACAATTCTGATAAGTAGTTTTTAAATTATAGTATATGTTTTTCTCGTCATCTCCTGTAATTTCAAAACGATGTTTGTTTTGAGATTTGAAGAAAAAATAAAAGGCATTCTAGAAATTTTACTTCTCTCTATTAATAGGATCGTATTCCCAAAATAATTTTTTTTTCAAATCTCAAAATAACATTATTTTAAGTTGCAGGAAATAATTTTATCTATTGTGATAGAAGAAACACTAAACTCATATGAAATTGATAATTTATTTTAAAAAAATTATACTACTTTGATCATTCCCCTTGGTTTGCGCCCTCATAATCTAAACATGAACAAATTCTCATCGTATGTTAATTTGTTCACATAAGGTGGATTTTGAGTTTTGACATATGGTAGGCTACTTGTTTTTTACATGAAAAAAATATTATTACTATGGTGGTTATTATTTATCGTGATAGATGAAATGTTGCCTACATAAAGGGTGTTTGAGCAAGTTTTAAACTTTCCTAGAAAAGCATAACAAATATGCTTTAGAGAAACAGTTTTAAAGAGAGTTTAGGAAAAAAAAAAAAATCAAGTTAGAACATCTCTAGAGTGAGGGAGTTAGAGAAAATAATATTAAATTTATTTTCACACAGAGAGAATTTTTTTTTTTTTTTTTGGATATTCTCTATATTTTTAGTGGATTATTTTTTAGAGCTCTTCCCGTGATTGTTCGTAGTTGAATTTTTCACGTAAAATCTTTTATATCACTATTATTGATATCTTCTTATACGTATTAATTTATTACATTTGAGAGCAAAATACGTATCTTATAAATACAGAAGCAATAATAGAAATGATATTTAGTTTAGAAGAGAAGTAAATATAATTATTTTTTTTTTTTTAAATAAAATATAAAATTTTTAACAGCTGGGTGGATTCAATCCAAGGTAGAAGTTAGAACTGTCAGTAGCTAGCACAGAAAACGGTGGGGCCACATAAACTATTGATCTACCTTTGTCGTCGTAGGTCAACTCAAGTATGAGCCAACTATGTATGAGGAAATAACAAATCACGGTAGCGCGAAAAATATGTGAATACACACCAATTCTCAATTCTCCACGTTTTACGAATGTGATTAATATTTTTCACGTGCAGACACATATATCGAGTCATGTAAACAGAAAAGAGACGAAAAAAAAAAAAAAAACACGAGCTGATATATTTTTATACGTATATTGATGATAAAATTATTTTTTACAATACGAGAAATATTATTCCTTTTACGAATTGGCAATTATGTTGTGTAAGAATTTTAGTTTAAAAATGTTATTTACACAGCTATTTTATTAAAAACTGCATAATTATTAATTTTGCTATATAATTAAGAGTTTTATATATGATTATTTTACACTGATAATTTAGTAGCGGAGCCGAGAAATAAACCTAGCCAGTTCCAAAAAAATTCAGCCAATGCCAAAATATTCAGCCCAGCATGGGCGAATTTATATGGTTGCCAACGTGAGCAAGTGCAGACATAAAAACAGAGTAAATATCATTTTAGATCCTCAATAGAAAAACATGATATCCGTTTTAATTCCTTAGGAGAAAAAAAGTCAACCTGTGGTCCCTCTGAAATTAAAAGAAGACCTATGTACGTCAAAAAGGACTAATATAGGTACTTTTTTTTAAGGGATTAAAATGGATTCCGTATTTTTTGTTGAGGACCCAATAAGGTATTTACTCAAAAAAAAAAATTCATTTGAAATAACAAAGCTTGATATATATAAATAGTTGGTGAGCCATCTTTACTACTGCAGAATTTGCTAGGAGAATAACTTGAAATAATATTTAAATTTTTTTAAGAGCTTGAAGAGTAAATTGCTCTTTGCGTCCTCAACAAAAATCATAGGGCCCATTTTAATCCTTTAGAAAAAAAAAATTTGACTTGTGTTCCCTCTAAAATTCAAAGAAGAACCACATTAGTCCCTCAAAATAACTAACATGAATTTATTTTTAATTTCAGAGGGACCACGAGTCGAATTTTTCTCTCTAAGAGGTTAAATTGGCCCCGTGATATTTGTTGAGGCAAAAGGTACTTTTCTCTAACTTGAAATAGCATTTATAAAAAATGAGATATGCATGAAATAACAAAGCTTGATATATATGATTAGTTTTTTTTTTCTCTTCTTGTTTATATTCTTTTATTTTTTAATACATTTAAAAAAAAATTATTTTTTTACCCGAACCCTTACCACTATGTGTGCAAACATAAATAAAATTTTCTGTGTTCGCTACTGCAGCTAGGTAGAATCCAGTCATTGCCAATGATATACCATTTTAAAAAACCCAACCAGTATCATGGTTGTATCATAATTTTTAAAGAAAACATAAAAATCAGCTGTTACCAAGTCAGTGGCGAAGCCACGGACAAGACCCAACTAGTGCCAAAAGACCCAATAAAATTCAGCTAGTATCAATATTGTATTATTTTAAAAAATCTAACCAATACCAAAGCTATACCATAATTTTTTTAAAAATATGTAGCATTTTTAAAAATCAGTTGATATCAAGGCACTAGCTAGGAACCAAGTGTCTCCGCCACTATATACATTATACTTTTAATCTTATTCATTGATTTTATTTATACTTAAATATCACACATTGCTAAAGCAATTTGTCACTTTTACCAAAATAAAAGTAAAAAAATTTGTCACTCTGGTTAATTAGAATGGTACACATAAGAAGGAAGCACGTTTTCACCCGAATCTGGCAAGGAAAAAAAAAACAAGAAGAAGAAGAAGTGCAAAAATTAATCTTTTAATTTATTCAGAATATAACCTCAGATCATAAACATGTACAGAAGAAAAAAAAATAAAACTGTAAGTTATGATAAAAGCATTGAATTATGATCATGTTTGTATAAATAATTACATTTCTTTACTTAAAAAAAAAAAAAACTCCAAAGCAATTAATTACTAAATGAGATGATCCTCACAATGCTTTGTCAAAAAATAAAATAAAAAAATTATGTATCAGCAGTGATCAGTCCCCACATCAGTAGTTGTTGAACCAATTCCAACCTGCAACCATGGTGAAGAACTGCCACCAATGTTTATATCCTTAAGCTCACTTAGTTTTGCTAACTTGATCTTACTATCAGCTTCATTATCCCCATTCTGCATCAAACTAGCATTGTAGGAGTTATTATTATTATTATTATTATTATTTTTATCCTCATCATTGTCATTGTCAACTTGATTATGGTGTTGGTGACTCTGACATTGACTACTATTATCATCTTTAACAACAACATCCTTTGTTGTTGCAACCCATGGCTGCAAGTAAATTTCTGTGGACACATTCCTTCTTGCAAGGTCATTGGTTGGAGCTGGAAGGTTAAGGTCTAGCTTGAGATCAAGTGGTTCAGAAGAGCTATCAAATTTTGGTATTTGATCCATGTGGTCTTGAAATTGTTGAAACCTAGCCAATGTTGATGTTTCTGGTGCATTTGATGTGATCCAATGGCACCTCTTGTGTCCACCCAATGCTTGTCCGGAAGAGAAACTCCTATGACAAATTGAACATTCATGAACTTTTGATTTCTTCTTAGAGGAAGAGGCCAATGTGGGGTTGTTATTAGAACCATGATGATGATGATCAAATTGGAGTTGCGTTGAGTTTGATTTTGTAGGGAAGAACTCTTCATGTGTTATGACATCATCTTCTGTTGTTGCGAGACTATCATCAAGGTTGTTGTCTAGTCTTGCAGCAAAACAACCCTTAACTTTCTTGTGGCTTGCTCTATGTCCTCCCAATGCTTGATGAGAGTTGAAAACTTTCTTACAAGCTTTGCATTCGAATAACCCTTTTGCGACACCTTTGGCCTTGTTGTTGTTGTTGTTGTTATCAATGGGAACTCTGCATGACAATGGTGGAATGAAGTTATTCATGGGGTTTCTTCGGTCTTCATCTTTGCTAGCTGAGGCACATGACTCTTCGGGTTCAGCTACAAGAGGATCAACAATGGCATTGGATAACATCATCAAACAATTTGCAAGGTCTTCTTCCTCGCTTGAAGGGCAATTATAATTGAAGCTACCAACTTTGGTTCTCAATGATCTTTTCCTTTTGGACCAACCACCACATCCTCTCCGGATCCCGTCGTCGTCAATGATATCATCGGCTGCGTCGGAGCCCGGAGAGGACACCGGGGACTCTGCGGCGTCCTCGGAGGTGCATTTCCCATGTTCAAGGAAAGATTTCCAAGATAAAAACTCTTTGCCACAATTCTCACAAACCCTACAACTCTTTAGCCTGTTAGGGTTTGTTCTTAGAGCATACATGCGCTTGTTGCTTGGTGGAACGTTACCACCACCGAGCCTTTCTTCCCAATCACTTGCAGGGTCATCATCATCCATGTGCCCCGTTTCATCACCTATGCCATGTGCCCTCATGTGACCTCCTAGAGCTCTTCCACAACCAAAACCTTTTTTGCAGATTTTACAAAAGTGCTTGAAGGTTGATTGTTGATCCACAATCAAAGCCATAAAAATAGAAGAATGGTTAGAATGAATGATAAAAAGAAAAAAAAGAAAAGTTAGAAGAAAGAGAGAGATGGGGGGAGGGGGGAGAGAGAGAGAGAGAAAAAAGAAAAAGAAAAAGAAAAATAAAGAGATAGATATGTGGGAGGAGGAGGAAATGGGTTAAGAATGAAACAAGGGGTGGAGTTTGTTCTTGTAGTGATAGTTGTTGTGGTGTTATATATATGGTGAAAATTAAGGGGTAGTAGTCCTAGTTTTTAGTTGAGTATTGGTTGGGTTGATTTGTGGATGAGAGAGAGAAATGCAAGAGTTTTGTGACAGTAAGAGAGTGTGGTGACAAGTGGAAGAATGGTGAGAGGGTAAGACTTTTTCTACGACTTCGTGGTAGTAGCGCCGCCTGTAAAAGGTAACAAAGGAGGTCCGTTTAGTGTGTGTTTATTTCTTTTTGTGTGTGTATATGTGTGTGTGAGAGAGAGACATGGAGAGAGGGAGAAAGAGGGAGAGAGAGAGAGGAATAGTGTGTGTTGGTCTCTCATTTTTTATGTGTCTATGTCTATGTAAAGAAGTGAGTGGAAGGAGAGGAGAGTGGTTCTAACTACCATATCTATTCATATCCCTTCAATTCCAAACCAAGGAAACTAACCTATGCTTCTCCTTGGCTGTCGGTTGGTTTATGTTGCTTTTCCACCCAAATATATCATTTTTTTTCATCTTTATAGTAATTATAATTTGTGATCAAGCTAGTTTTGGTCCATACTTTTGACTGGATTCCCTTCATTTTGTTTAAAAGTGAACACGTTTACTTTCTTTAGTCTATTGATTTTACTCTCTCTCTCTCTCTCTCTCTTTTTCCTTTTAGAAATGGTTAATATATACGTACACGTATAAATTTTTTTGTACTTGAAATGTACTTCACGTGTATCTTGGATGAGTCAACATAAAACTATATTTTAAGTGTGACAATTGAGAAAAATGGTCGAAATATTTGGATCTACGATGAGGCATGGAGATTGATGTTCTCATCTTGAGTCCATTAGCTTTCTAAATCAACTCCGATGCTAATCGTGGTATTATTGTAACTTTGACACATTCTTTAACTAAATTTCAGTCACACAACTTAAGATTCTATCGTAAGCTCTCTTTGTATTTTTTAAAATTACCAGTTGAAAAAATATTCAAAATCATGTATACTATATAGCTTTTATGTAGGGATGTTTGCGGTCTCGATTGGATCGATTTTGGAAGCAAAAATCATCCGATCCAATCCCTTCGAGTTGATCATGTAATTATCCATTCGGTTTGAATTTTTTTTCAAATCCGATCTGATCCAATCCAATTTTTTTCGGTTTGGATTAGATCAGTTTTCGATTTTTTGAAAATCTTAAAATTTGTTTTATGATTACTCTGCAAATAACATCTTTGGTATATATTGGCTTTGTAATTTTTTTTTTGAAATACAAAAACATCAGTAAAAGATAATATAGTTTTTTTTTGGCAATAAGATATGAAGCTCTACATAGATGAAATTTTGTTGATGAGATGTGACTAGGTTTTTTCTTGGGTTTTGGGTTTAAAATTTTTTGGGCTATGATTGAGGAAAGACCCAAGTAGGTAGAAGAAAATTGATATATTGGATCGGTTTGGATTGGATCGACTTTCATCAACCAATCCGAAAATCGATCCAATCCAATTCAAATTTGCGATTTTTTTCGGTTTTCAATTTTTGTTTTTTGGTCACCGCGGTTTGAATCGGTTTGGATTGATTGATGAACACTCCTACTTTTATGTAAACATTTTACTAAGTCATAAACCATTTTAAAAATTGGTTTTTTTGCTTATACATATTTAAATTTATGGAAGCAAACAATAAATGATTGAACATTAAAAATAAAACTTAAAATAAGAACATTCAGAGTTTCACCTCATTTTATATATATATATATATATATATATATATATATATATATATATATATATATATATATATATATATTACTTAATTTTAGTCAATATTTAATACATTAAGCAATGAACGCTTAAGATATCATATATATATATATACTAAATTCCAAATATTGATATTTATTACCATGAAATTGAGCTCACTATTTCAGTCTGGTAATGAGCTTCTAATTAAGCAAAAACATCAGTAGGTTCAGTCTCTAATCAATAATTATTGTTCTTTTTGCTTTGCCTCGAAGCATTAACCAACAATGACCCAAAGTGATTTAGTAAGGCAGCATAAGTGTACTTACCACAATAACTTCAAAAGGCTCAAGCATTAAGAAAATAGTGATTATAAATTAACAATGAAACATTTAATATGACATGCAACTGTATGATCTCTAGAATATTAGCTAATAATTTTTTTGCTTACAGTTAATCTGATCATAGAAAACACTTGATAATTAAGCCGTAACTGATAAAGTATGATGACTTGTAGTGGTATGCTAAAAAAAAAAGCAATATAAGAAGGTTTAAGGGAATTGTTTTTTATTTATAATCTCTCTTGCTTTTTTTTGTAATGGCACATCTTAAATAGTTTCCCTATATAATTTGGTCAACAGTTTATTCATATTGAAGTTAAAGAATTTACAGGAATTTTCTGCACTAAAGAATTGATATAATAAAATTTAATCATGTAACTAGCCATCTATTTGTATATTACATACTCTTTGCCTGCTAAGCAAATGACAAATCTCCTGGTTTCAGAAACAGAACCCAATTGAAATTCATATGACCAACGACTTCAACATTCTATATAAGAGGATTAACATTGAGACACAATGGTAAATTATCACGTATTAATCGTGAGACAACATGATAAATCCACTGTAAATGGCCATGTATTAATCATGAGAAAACATGAAAAAATCAATTATAAAATAAAACATGGAAAAATTAATCAATTATAAAAGAAAACATGAAAAATCAATGGTAAAGTGTCATGTATTAATCACATCAACAATTTTTTTTATTTACTGAAAACTTAATTAATTGTTGATAAACATTTTTTCCTGGATTGATTTTAAACACTTCAATATATAGGGTGCGGGAGAACATCAATAATTCATGATAACATTATCTTTATGCCTGAAAATCTTCATTTTCATTTGTCTAACTCTTTATGAATTCATTCATTCTTTTTTAAGTTGGAAAGAGATTTTTCTTGCAGGGCAAGACAAAAGATAAGTGGGGTCCCTGATAATTAGGTGTGGTCCATGCAACTAACCCCAAGCATTGATGCTTACCCTGGCGAGAATAAATATCTTGGCAAAAAGAAATTCAACATATATATCATGATAAATACTTACTTAACATAGTGGCACAAAACAGAGATTTATATAAAGACATTGCAGCACTACAAAAAACACAGTTTAACCACATTTGATAAAAATTCGAAAATACGCTTATTAGTGATATTATTTTCAAAATGAAGTAAAACTATTTTTGAATTTTTTATTATAATTTTTTTTCTTCTAAAAAGCATATTTCATTTTTATTCACTCCTCTATTTGTCTATTCTGTTAGGGATAAACCCTAATGTTTATCTTTGTTCTTTCCTGCTTAAAATCTAATAGAATTCAGCTTGGAACTTGTTGCGAACTCGACAAATGCAACGGTTGTACAAGTAATAAAGTGTACTGAGTGGATTATAATTTCAATCACTAATTCACTACTTCCGCTTAAGCTGGACATTCAATTATGAATTTGTTACAAGATTTGGGTTGGATTCAGAATATTAAAACTAATTAAAACAATAACAAGAATGTAAAACTTTGGATTACTTGACAGAAAAGAAATGTAGCTAGGGGTTTCCACTTCCCCCATTTTCTCCTTTATGTTCGGAATTCACTCTTTCAGATTAATCGTCCTTAATATAAAGTCAATCGATTCTATTTAATTTAATTAGAATTCAATTCCTTGACACCCTAAATCTTTATAATCTTGCAAGAACCCTAGTTCACCGGATATTCCTCAAGAAGACTAGCATTACGTTCAAGAATCATACGATTGCGTAAAACACTATGTCTATCTATAGAATCATAAAGATTACGATGAAATTATCATATACGGATCATGTACCAACATTCCTATTGCAATACATTTTTACCTAAGATCAATCTACAAGATTCAAGCTCATAGAAAGCATTAAGAAAAGATAACTTCATTCAAAATAAAAAGGAAGAATAACATTAAGAATTTGTTCAAAACATAAAAGATTAATTGGGTTCCATCTAACCCTAACTACTAATAAAAACTTAGCCTAACATAGTAGAATCAAGAATTAAAGAAAACAATAAAGCTCCCCCAAACTCCATGACAGTGTGGTGAATCTTCAAGATTTTCAGTGCAAACTTGATTCCGATCTATCTCCGATACCCAAGAACATGAACTATGCTCCTCTTCTGCTTCAGATCTCCAAGGTTGATCAGTTCCCTCTGATTTCTGCTTCAATTTTCCTTTTTATAATTGCAGAATTCGTGCTCTAAATGGAAATATTCAATTGGGCCTAAGTTGAACCGTGATGGGAGCTTAAGTGTTTTAGGACAGTAATGCAGGTTTATGTGAGGGCGCTTAAGTGCTTTGATGGGAGCTTAAGCCCTTTCTTCGAAAAGAATATTTTTACATGGCAGCGCGCTTAAGCTCTCTATTGGGCGCTTAAGCGCGCTCTTACAGAAGCATTTTGCTCTTTCTTTTCAACTTGGGCACTTAAGCTCTCTACTGGGAGCTTAAGCCTCCTCTTCAAAAAATGTGATTTCTCCTATTTGCACTTGGTGTCTTTTATCATCTTCAATTCTAAGCTCCAAGCCTTTAAACTTCATATTTTCTCTTGTTTATACTCATTTACCTTTAAAACAAGCAAAAATCAATTATTTAATTCATATTTCAATAATTCATGAATTTCCACTAATAAACCCTAATTATCATATATTTGACTAGATGATTCACGTAAAATTAGTCCTTTAAACATGATAAACTAAAGGTTTATCAAAACTCAGTTC